TGAGTTAAAATAATATTTTTTTCTACATCAATTTTTAACTTATCGAGTTAAATTTATAATTTTRTTAACTTTTAACTTACGATCTTGTGTCTTCACTTTATCATCCTATTCACTTTCCCAATGGAAAAGGTACTAAAGTTTAAATTTGAAGCACTAATCGATACTAATCGTAAAAAACACACATCATTGTAAAATCAWTACATATCCATCGCTGCGCTCAGAATCTAAAAGTCAATTGATTTCAACATTACCAAAATTGATCCAGTTAATTTGTTGAGTTAAGGTAAATTGATTATTAACTTTTTAATTAGTTAATATTTAAATTTCACATTTGCTAATACCTAATAATGATCGAATATAATTTTAAGCTTGAAATTGCATACCTATTAAAAGTTCTAATTTAGTTTTTGTAATCACTGGATATGCAACAGTATGCCAATATGTAACATTATTCCTGTTTTTTTTCGTTTTATTTAAATAAAAAATTTTGAAATATGGTAGGTAAGTACTTYATAAATAATATTTCATTAGATGGATGTGTAATATTATTATTGTGATACGCTTAACTATTCGTCACGTCACAAAAATTATACGTTTTAGTTGGTAAAATTTCAGTCGTACCTAGGTAGGTAACAGGTAGGTTTTATCAATATATACAGAGAACAGCAACGACTCATTTKTTTTAAACGTTATATCCAAAGAAACATTTATTTTATTTCAATTTTAAATACAAGTCTGAAAATACTTAATTAAGAATTAAAGATAAGTAAAAACAATAAATTGTTAAGTAACATTTTAGTTGCAACTTATAACTTATGTATCAACAATTTTAATGTAAGTAACATGCAACATCAATAGAATATAGTTTTTTTTTTTTATTATTAGGAAACTTAATTCTGAATAAAATTAACACAATTTTGAAAACTTAAATCTAATTATTAATGAATAATAATAATAAAATGCTTAAAATAAATTTCTTAAAATTCTACGTTCAACGTCGAAACATTCTAAATTTGTGTGACGATCAATTATTCAATTAAAATAATTGAATCATTTGTATAGGTACCTACTTAAATGTTAAAGGTAAACCGTAAACGTGGGTTACTTGGGTAGTTTCGAACTTTTATGTTATATATGTCAGTAAATAACTATTGCATCGGACCAATATTTATTCATAAATTTGTCTTCTGATAGTCTATACTCGAATATGTATTTGAATTTAAACTGGTATATCATATTTTATATATTTGCTTTAGTGGCTATTTCACGTGTCTAGGGACAACTTTTTAATTTTGCTAAAAAACTCAAATCTTGAATCAACACAAATGAAGAAAAATGTGCTTCTAACAATATTTTACATAGGAATGTCCGAATTTATTGTTGAAATAGCATATCAGTTACAATTAGGTAAATATAGAAATATAAATGCAACCTTCTGAATTGTTATTTTAAATATCGTTAATTCTATGTCTTATGAATTACCGTTATAAGATAAATAAGATGTAAGTAACTATTAAGTCAAATAATAAAAAAAATTACTTTCTTTCTATTTCCTTATGATAAAAAACGAAATCGTATTGAATAAAGTAATTGAAAATACAGGGCCCTAAGTTACTTATGTCTAAAACAAATTAGCGTTAAAAACTGTTGAAATATTAACTCAGGCAATAAATTATGTGTTTATGTTAACAAAATGTAATTCAATTCAGTTATTACGCTAGTAAATCGTAATTAATTTGATATTTTTTAAGTTGTAAGTTAAGTCCTATAAATTAARATATAACCAACCATTCAATTACACATCTAACTACTTCTATGGTTAAGAAGGACTATATTCCGCTCAACGAAAACAGCCAGAGACCCCTGTCACCCAACCACCATATCCGATGGTTAGCCATAGGTTCTCAAGTTAAACCGCATCGTTGCGGTGTTTTATAAAAAATAAATGTATTGAAATAATTTTTTATATTGATATTTTTTTAAACCATATTGCTCTTATGAATTGTATAGTAATTAATTAATAATATATCAATTAAATTAATTARTTAAAAAAACCGCGGAAATTGGTTTTACATGCATGAGAACCACTGATAGGAAATGATCGCTATAGAGTCACGTCGATCACCAGCCAGTTTCGCTGCGTGGATTATAGCAGAACTATTTTCTTGATTAAAACAATATCTGTAAGTTTCAAATATTATGAAAATAAAAATGGCCAAAACGACATTATTGCCCAAAGTTAAGCACATTTACGGTATGTACATTTTATRTTAAAAGAACTCAAATTAAATGATAATTGTATCTTTGAAAACTTATATCTAAATATTAATAAATATAATAATAAGAATACAACGTCAAAAGGTATATTATCTGAAATCCAGCTACATTTAACGCTTTTGATTTCTTTCAAACACACTTTATTTGTGTAACGATCTAATAAAATAACGAAAAACATMAAATATAAGTACTTAAATATTAAAGGAATGCATTTTAAATCAAGAAAAATCCATTTTAATGATTAATAGATTTTTAAAAACTTACATCTATATATCAATAAGTATTGCGATTAGAAAAAAAGTTTACATTCTCTGAAATTATAGACTCGACGCCYTTGAATCGTTTCAATTGYACAATTCATAGGCGTGCACGGGTAGGAGGAGGGGGTAAAGAATTTACGAATTCATCAATTTAATCACTATTAATAGTTGTCTGTCATTATAAATTTTTATACTAAATAATAATAATTATTATTATTTTGTCCATCGTATATTAATATAAAATACGCGTTATATACTTTAGAAAAAAATTCTCATGACATAAATTAGGTGCGAGGTTAGGTTAGGTAATAATACCTTATATTACTATTATTACGATTTCCCAAAAGTCTGTAGAAACTATCTGAAATAAAAGTCTCGCACGCCTACGAATTAGTATTAAATTTCTCAACGCTCTCTTAAAGTTATAAATAAATACCTTATACGCTAAACTACGCTAAAAATACAGTTTGTATTAAGAAGATGCTTACAACAACTTTTAAGGAGTATCAGTTTTAATAATGTGTTTTGTAAAACATTTGTTGATGGGTTCTTATTGACTATTATAATTCAATACATTTAAGTGATATGCAAATACATTTTTTTTTTTATAATATATATTAACTTATTAAACAGAAGWATCACTATTATTTGTTAATCAATTAATACATTTTTGAAAACTTAATTAAATATTAATGAATACAGATTAATAACACCTTAAACAAATTAATAGGTGTAAAAGAAATATTTTATAATATACTAARCTACTTAGCTAAGACTAGGTTGAACATTCTTACATATTACATTTTTAAGGTATATCGAATATTTTAAGTTTCATTTATAATATAGATACGATTCCATACATTAGATTATTTATTATTTATTTAYACATACACTGATACACTGAGAAGACTCGTGTGAGGACCCAGGACTAATTTGCAAGTAGTAGCGCACAGGAATCTTTCAGAGGGTGAGAGGGTTATGTCAATAATAATTGATTTAACCATTTTGAGAACGTAAGACCTGGTTAAAATAATTTTCATTATGAATGACATCTCTAGTTGAACCCTTCTACCCCCTCCCCCAAACACGTGAGCTTCATCGTGCCACATCAATAACTCATTTTTGAATAAGTAAACCAAATATCGAGAACATCATTTTCAAACGATTAATACATTTTTGGAAAGTATCTTAAATTTTACGCTTTTGATTTCTTTAAATTCATTGTAGTGCATTAATCGATGCTCTTTTAAAWTTTAAATTAAAAATCGTGTCTGTCAAAAATCATTACAACGATAAATAAATATAATAGATTGTGAGAGGATGCGGACGTCACATGACTGCTTTTAAATGGATATGGTTTAGGCGATTTCAGCGATATTTTGAGTATTATTTAAATAATAGGTATAGGTACATACTAATTTGAATTGACTTACTAGTGGTCCCCAAATAATTGTGATGTATAGAAGATAACCAAGAAACAATACGGCTGCATGTACAGTTAAAAAAAGGCTTATATTTTTTTTCGTAGTAACACTAGTTTTTCGACTATATGACGTCATTTTTGTGTTTTAATTTGAATAATACAAACACAGAGGAATTTCATAAGAATAATGCTTCATACGCATTATTTTGTGAAGGTGAAAAAATCAGAACTATTCTGAGCTGCACAGTCAAGATCCAAAATCATTTTTCTACGTTGACAATTTGGTTTCTTTCTCCTTTCTATCTTTTAGGAATATTAGGAATTGCTCAACTAAATGATTCATATGTGCGCTAAATGGACTCAATAAAAAAAAATCATGCCCTGTCATAGTTTTATAAATTCGAATTTAATCTAACCTAAAGTTAGATAGRAGACAATACTTTTTTATCACTGCTAGTATATTGTGGTAAAATTTACTGTTAATTGCTCCGCGTGTGTAATTATTTGGCCTTTAGCATTCTCCTTATTGTATACCAACGATTATTTGAATACAATGCAACAACAATATATAAAATAATTATTTTCTTAAATATTAAAATACTTAGTATATCACTTATAAATTATCAAAACCATTTGAGAAAATGTAACATATATCAGAATAACATCAAAATAATTGAACTGGTTCTCCAAGGCAAAATTACATTTTGATTCCTATCTTTTCGTTTAAATTTATGTCAAAAACTAGGCATACTATCCAATTGGTTTTTTTAGTGGGGTCATTGTATTAATTGATTTGTCTTTGTTCTGTTTTTATGAGCGTTAAGCAAGTCTAAGCTTGTTTGGTTTTAAATTAATTGTAAATTGTGCATATATTTACCAATATAAACACCTATGTGGCTATGTATTATGTATTTATTATAGATACATTAACGTTATTCATTTATTTTATGTTATAACATCGAGTAAATTTAAAAAATTTAAAAATATAATTACCTACATATTATTAACATAATTATTATCTGACAAGGCAGAGAATACATTTAAAACTAAAACAAAAATATTAAAATTAGTAGATACTAAAAATTTTTAAATGACTATGATAATTTAACACAGTACTATTTTTTTACTTGACAAATTAAAAAAAAAAATGCACTTGATTTTTGTTAGAGAGCCATTCAATTAATAATTATTTATATCTAATAAACTAACAATAATAGGAAGAACTTAGTGACTAGAATTTATATGCAAATATGCAATATTAAATAAAAACATAGTATTGATTTATTTTAACAATAATATGTAGGTGATTCATTACAATCCGAAAAGATTTAACACTGCTATGATTTATATGTATTTTATAATGTATATAAATGTTTATGAGTTTGAGAAATTAATTGTCATTATTTTCATGATATTAAATATTAACAGTAATTTTAGATGTATTTAAATGTAATGACGGTAAGTTGAGTCAAAGTTCTCAAATTATCAATACACAACTAGAAGCCAGTTAAAAATTTAACAGAAAAACATAATAAAATAAATTATGCATTTATTACCTTAGAATATAAAATCAAAACTATTCACCAAGTGGAGTTGGATAAAAGAAATAATAACAACAGAAATATTTATATTTACACTCACTATAGAATCATTACAAACGAAAATATTGTAGGTACATAGATGCTGCAATAGAATAAAAACATAGCCCTAAAACCACTTAATACACGATTATAAAGTTAATTAATTCAACAGTTATCAAACGATATACCTATGTACCTTCTTTAGGATAATACAATTATTATACATTCACTTCTAAAACAGCAAGATAGTCTCACAGCCATATAGTAAATAATCTTTGTGAGTTGTGTAAATAAATAATGATGGCATTCATTGTACACCTGTRAAAATAAAATAAAAATATTTTTTTAAGAACGATATTCAAAAGTATTCAGAATAAATAGATAGGACAGGTTAGTACTTATTCGAGAAAGCTTTCTTTCATTTTCGATTTTTACCATGCCTAAAAATTGCTTATCACTCAGATGGGTTTCAGAAGTTTCAAATATGGAAAATAAGTAAATAAATAAAATCATACAAAATTAGAAAAGATTATAACGTTGTAATTTATAAAATGTCAATTTTAACTTTAAATATCCAGTATTGGTTTTGTGGCCAGTTTAAAAAATATAAATTAATAAATATAATAAATAATTGTTGATTCCTTTTTTTGATTTTACTGTGATTTTTATCTTTTACATATCATCAAGAATATGAATAAAATGTGWACCTATGATAGTGGGTTTACAGTTATATTTTCAAACACCAACGCCTAAAAAGTCATTTTAGTTCAATGTAGGGAAAGTGAATTTTCATTTAGCAATATATAATAATATGATTCATGGGGAATAGATAAAAATGAAA